ATAGCTTGACCGCATTTTCAGAGCCTCTCTCTCTGAGCTGTCAGAAGCCGCGGATGGGGAAAGCGCATCACTTCTGGTGACATCGCTCCTGCATGCCGAACCTTCCTCCTTCTCTAGTCTACACAGCACCCTAAATCCATGCACATTGGGGTGACAACGCTATCTCTGCACTGTAAGGCAGAGGGTGAGTATTGTCACCCTAAAAAAAAGGTTAAGAACCAGAAGTCTTGCTGCACTCCTTACCAGAACATAGAGAGACACGTGCAGACGGGTGGGGGTTTGTAACGACCACGGATGGCGCCGTGAAGAACTCAAATGAAGAAATAATGTCACCAGCACGCCGTAATAGTATTTCAGCAATAGTCCATTTAATGGCACATTGCCATTCAAATGCAAGCGCTTTCGGAGGCCTCAAGGGGTCCCCTTCATCACGTCATTCTGAGCCTGATGAAGGGGACCCCTTGAGGCCCCGAAAAGCGCTTGCATTTGAATGGTAATGTGTCATTAAATGGACTATTGCTGAAATACTATTACGGTGTGCTGGTGACATTATTTCTTCCCTAAAAAAAAGGGGGTGACAGTGATACATTTATAAACAGTAAAGGCCTGTTCACATGGGTTTCAGGTCCTGATCAGGTCCGGATCAGGTGCGGATCTGCAGACGCGGTGCTATGTGTTTTTGACACGTTTTTGACGCGTTTTGCGTTTCCGGAACATTTCCTGAACATACAAAATGTGACATGCAGTATTTTTCTGTCGTAACCTGAACGGACTGCGCACGTGAGAACTGTAGCCCATAAAACACATAGGGATACATTGGGATGCATTTTGAGTGCAGGAGCGTACGGATCAGGTCAGCACAGAAAACGGACGTCGTGTGACCAGGCCCTTAAAGTAAAGTTAAAGAAAAAAGCTGCTCAGGTTACGGGGTGCGAGTCAAGCCCACAAATGCCAACAGTCCCCGATTTGCCGGGACAGCCCCATCTACTTGGCCGTCTGCCTCACCAATGCTATGTCCTTGGGTCACAGTATGAATTTCTTTTGCCTACTATCTGGGTGTGAGTACCATAAATCACACCAACGTTATGGGTTGGCCTCGTCCATACCACCACTTCTAAGGGAAGGTTGCACATATTTCTCACTGGCACCGCCCTGAACTTCTGGTCAGTAAGTGCACACTGTTAAGATCAGAACATTGGGACTACGTGTCCCATCATGCCTTGCACCTGTACACATAGCGCCACCCACCTCTAAGCTTTGAGCTGCCTGTTTCTGTTGATGGACAGAGCGCCGGAACGTAGGAATCAAGTCCTACGTGCCGGCGCTGTCCAGAGCTGCCTTGTAGGGCCAACCTGAGGCCCCAACGTAGCCACCCTTACATGCTCGCTTCCAGCTGGGACTATTTGCCTGTAGACCCTACAGACGGAAATGTGGGGGAAAGAAATTTCGATTGCCGAGTTTGATAAAATGATTGGCTGTGGAAAATAAAACTGGAGGCAATGCGGGGCTATTTCTTGTTGCAGGAGGAAGTTTAAAGTGGACCTTCACTCTAACATTCAACTCTAACCCACTGT